AAAAGAAAATTTAACTTTAAGTATTCATCAGTATTCTTGTTGGTTCAGGTAACAAAATGCAAGACATATGGAAAAAAGTGGCATAGACACTAGACAGTCGTTGTCTGTCATCTTATGAAAGATTACTTATGAAAGATTACATTCCATGCCCTTTCACATGACCACTATTTAACACTGAGACTGGCCTTTGTGTCCATGTCGCACACCTCTTTGAATCATCTGGAGTTCTGGCGGAGGGCAGCAACCTCATTGGTGACTCTTTGTTGCAATGTCTAAAACTTGGCCCAGAGCAGATTTTGGCACATTGTGCAAAAGGAATGATTATTCAGTGGTCCATGGTTTTATATGAATAACTGACATACCATTGGAAAGAGGAGACATGTGGCTTCCTGGTAAACTAAATCAAATTGATGTTATCATCACTGGTTTTGTGATTTTACAATGTTTTTGTTTGTTGCGTTTTTTATGGGACACACTGTATATGAGCCTATTTTATTCTAGACAAACACATTTGGATCAACTAAACATGCTACACTTCAAGAAAGTACAAATGGCATTCCTTTGACCTTTATTTATTACAGTCCGAGAAGATCTTTCTTGACGAAATACCCTCATTATGAAACACCGTGTACGTCTTCTTATAAGTATAAGTATACGTTATAAGTTGTATTTTACGTATGTGCGAAATCTCTCTAATTATGTACAACTCTCACTGTTCTTCAGCTAGTTACATTGACGTTATGTCATAGTAAAAATAAGGAACTACTCTCAAATTCGAGCTCGGCACGATTTTTTTCGATTTAACTATTTACTTGAATGTACACGTATAAGTCAATTTGCAGGATATTGTTTGGGTCTAAGTTTGGGAATATAGTCTTGTCAATCCCCTTTTCTTGAATCAGTGAAATCGTATTTATCATATTGTGAAAAGGTCAACGAAATCTCCTTCTGAATCTGTTTCTGAAATGAATGATTGATTTTAAAGTTGACCTTGTTTTAGGTGGGGTGAATGTAACGTTGGTAACTTTTATGCCGATGCCTTGGTGGACAAGAATATTTATCCACCGACCGATACATCCTGGAACAATGTATCTCTTGCTGTATTGAATTCCGGAGGTATCAGATCTTCAACATTCTATCCTGGAGGTAAATCACAATTTTATATTGAAGAGACTGTATTTAATATCTGCGCATTCTTTAAAAGAGAATACTCCAATCCGAGGCTCGAGAATGTATAAGGTCGTACATTTATGATGAATTTAATATTTGGTATTGATTGCTCAACATACTAGTATACTATATGGACGGTTATTATAAGGTTACCAACCCTTTGGAGGGTGTATTCAACCATTCAATAACTATTCATATCACAACATCAGTACTATATTTACATCCTCCGAACACAGGCCTTCAGAACTCGTAACTCGTTCTACCAGAAAGAGTGAGGGGACGTCGTGGATGATATCTGGAGCCCTGCGTTCGCATAATCTATATTTAGTACTATTCCAAAATGTGTTTCCTCGCAGATGTAACCATGGAAACAGTACTTACTTTTTACCGTATCAAAACATGGCAGAAATGGTGGAACTAACTGGCCAGACAATATGGGATATGTTTGAGCATTCTGCATCGCGGTACGATCTTAACCCTACTGGGGGTGGCATGGGGATGTTTCTTCAAGTCTCAGGTACTGATAACCATATTTTACTATATACGTTGTAAGTTGTTATAATCGCTCACATCTATAGTATATTTGCACACGATCACCTTTTGATTTTACATATTTTTGAAACTCGAAAGCAAATATGCAACATTATTAGGACAAGAGTTCAGAAATACAGTTTTAAAAATATTGTTATTTAGATATTGATGATTTTAGGAATCGAAATAGTGTACGACGTTGGGAAACCAGTCGGTAAAAGAGTTGTGAGCATAAAGGTCACGTGTGCAGATTGTTTGGTACCTGCGCTTGAGAAACTAGACCTGACTAAGCATTACAAAGTAATAATGCCAGACTACGTTGCTAATGGGGGAGATGGTTATTCCATGGTCCGTGATAATAAAATACAGCATTTTTCGATAGGTAGGTGGTAAACAAAACTGAATAAGATTCAGCCTAATTACAATTTTAAACCTTATATGATCCTCTTTTCACATAAACACATAACGCCGGTGTGAATGGGTTGGTGGTCCTATCAAATGTTGGTCCTACTCTCTATTGATTTATATGGTGACCTAATTACAATTATTTTCCTTATTATTTATACACAGTAAGGGCCAGTATGGGCCGTAAGGAAATGGGACCATAATCCTCAGGGACCATAATTTCTTTTGCACCGGTATATACAACTTGCTGCTAAACGGGTTCCAGTTCCATGAAGTTGAAGTTTAACTTTGAGTATAAAAGTATGACATTTCTGTGGCGTGATTTAAAAGATAAGCGCTAGAACACTTACAAGTCTAAAAAACATATTCCAAAGGACTTGAGAATAACTTAAATGAAAATTACAATACAGAATTGGCGTGAACTCGTTTTAATGCAAGTATGTCCAAAATGCTTTTCAAAAAGTTCTTTTACACAAATTAATGGTACTTCTATAAAATTCAATATGTATGGACAGCAGTGTATGAGTTTCGTATATATATATCATTCCAGGGGACATTGACAGCGATGTGCTTGAAAGATACGTCAGAAAAATGTCACCTATCACCGCTGGGGTACAATCACGTATTACTATAACCAACTCAACTGCTGATGCAAATCCACCCCCTCCATGCCCACCTTCGACTGTTTTAATCTCAGGACATTTAGTAATACTTTGGTTTTTGTTAGGATATGCTTTTATATGTGTATTTCAATGTTGATATTTAATATGAGGAATGTCTAAGGAGTGCATTCAACAGTTCAAATATACAAAATGTATCAACTTTTAATGTATGCTTTCTGGAGAGAACATGTATTATCTATGTGCTCGATTTTCTATGTTGATGTGACAGTTAGAAATATGGTCATTAAACAAATCTACCAAATGTTTCAATGTGTTTAATTACTATGCATCCATCGTGGTAAGCCACACCCTCTCCATCTATATCCTTCTGCAACAGAGAGAGAGAGAGATGCTATGAGTATCAGAATGTTCTGCTATCTTGTCAATTATTAGGTACAACCGAGTCTTATTGATGTGCTAGATGCTGAAACATAATAATGCTTTCTAAGAGATAGGAGAAATTTAAATAGATGAATTTTACTTCTAAAATTAATATGTTTTACCAGCATGCCTATCCAAATATTCTGACAGGGTTTTATCATAATTCAAATACTGTTAGTCAAGTTGACCAGATATCTATATTATAGATAAAGACGCAATTTTATCAGGAAAATGTTTCACAATTCACTTCACTTTCACAAGTATTTATTTTTATTTAATTCTTTTATTTATTTATTTGGAAAACGCTTTTAGAGCAGCGGCACTCAATCCAATCCAATACACAATCCAATACATCACATATAAAATATAAATGGGATAAAACATATCATGCAAAAGGCCACTAAAACATGCATACGACTATAGTGTGCACTGTACATGTATTTTCTTTAAAAACAACTTGACATATTTGTCAAACTTCACGTAATTATCATGTCCCCGCAAAATTATGTCACTCGACTCTGAGTCTCTTATACGTCGACGCCAAAGGGACATTTATTTAATGTGCAATACTTTAGTATGTATAATGTAAACAGTTCAGGATTATGATAAGTATTTAATTAATAATCAACTTTCTTGCTAACACCACGGTGAACATTAGCTAGTTACAATTAAAAATGTGACATTTCTATTATTGAAAATATGTAGATTTTTGGATTTTTTGAATTTGTATTGCATTGAATCCGAGTCATTACAAATCACATTAATAAATGCATTGCCCCTAATGAATACCTCTCATCTTTTTGATTGGCATATAAATGTCACGTACCGATTGACCTGATTTACGTGATGGATCGAAGTATTAGCATAACGCCACCAAACATAAAGAAAATGAAAAACTTTTACAAAGTCATGTCATTTTCTGTTGGCAACCTATCACCTGGGGCTAACCCCAAGGCTTTAGTCGCTATGTTGAGCTACACTAGTGCGGTCTACTTGCATTTCACAGGTTCGAATTGTTCGGAAACAGCATGTGTCCTGAAAATGATTGATGAAATTCCCGAGACTGATGAATACTCTACTGTTACGAACCTTGCCCTTCAAGAGGTAGAAAAAATCGTGACTCTGTATTACGAAGGATGGTAAATATGGAATCCGACCTGTGGTGGTTTTGTCAACCGACGGTAATACTTGGCCAGCCGGTGCCAAGGACATCGTATCTCAAAGAGATACTGTACATCCAATTGCTGCTGCTAGTAGGATACGCGCTTGGGGTATTGATACAGTCGTGGTAGCTGCACCCAACTGCAACCCGGGATTGGAGAAATTGAGGGGCATTGCAAGTGTTTGACCTACAAAGTAATCTATCTTCCTTCGATGATCTAATCCCTATTACCTCAAAAGTTGTAAAATCCGTTTATGACGAGTATAAACCTAACACAGAAACGGTATAGTTGGCATTCTTGCAGCGACAGATATTTCGATTTTAACATAGAATTGTTTGTAATCTAACCATCATGAATTAAAATAAATCGCATGATTTTAGAAGATCCGATAAAAATGTTTATCAGCCGCATTCCGTATGATGAAAAATGTCGATGTTAAATATCAACTCGTCGATGAAATTATATCACTCAAAATGATATGATATTCTGTATTTGATATACTTTTAGTTGACGAAAACCAGAAGAACTCACAAAGACATTGTCAGTTTGTATCATCACGGTTATTTCAGGCTGGTGAATATGTAATTAAATTTTGAAAACACTCTGATCAATATATCATCAAATGTTGAGCACAACATGGCTATATTTTACTTTTTATCAAAGAACAAAGATTAATAAGTCAACATCTAGAAAGAAACATTACTAAGTTCGTCTAGCAAGACAGCTCGGGTCATATATAATACATTTAATCTCAAAATATAATATTTCACCACTTTATCTGGTGACATAATATTAATAAAAATGTGTGTGTATAATGAGATGTATTCTATAATAAGTCGGAATTATACAATACAAAATTCATTTAAAAAATGGAAAAACACAAAGAGTTATATTTTGTGAAGTTTGAAATTGAAGCTTATAATTTTTAAAATGCCTGCCGGAAAATGCTTAATTTCAGCCCCCTCTACGTGTTACCAACTTTGCCCGAAACGGTGAACACAATTAACACGCCTACCCATCAGCGTCAAAAAATAGCGGAGTGACGCAAATATTCTAGATGCGAGTAGAAATAATCTCGATTTACGTCATTAAAAAATCAAAATTCAGTCAAGCTGATGTCATATTTGGAATCTACATGTAAAATTACATCCAGAAATGTGGTTTTGAAAAGAATTTATCAACTTTGAAAATTTAATTTTCTTTGAAAATGTGACTTCTAGGTCGGGGAGATTTTGTAATACCCTGACATGTTATTTCCTCCGAATCAGCCACCTGGTGGCGAAACTAGTAAATACCTACTCGCATCTGAGTAATTGACTGCTTTGAAGCAAAAACTATGACTAGGGTTTTAAAAAAATTAATTTGATGAAAACAAATACGATTTCATGTGAAATAAAAACAGCATTCTCTTAGAAATGGTTTTAACTTTCTAACTGTTATAAAAGTTTTACGAGCACTCTTCGGATTTTTTTTGTGTGAATCGGCCCACATAATCGACACAAGTGAAAAAGGTTGTTTTTTCACATTTCGTTTGATTTTTATTTTCCCTGCCGTCTGAGAGTATGGATTATTTTTATGAGAATATGTATTTGTTAACTGCACATTTTAGAACGGGCGATAATTCAGCTTATAATCATTCATTGTGTATATTTAGAAAAGATCAGATTTGTACGGTGACGCATCAGCTGTACTCTGACGATTCATTATAATTTGTGAGAAGTAATATAAAGAACAGTATTTACTTAAAGATTCTCGCAATCTTTATCCAATCAGCGTTTGCGAGTGTGTCGGCTCACGTATAAAAGGCGAATCCAACTCAAATCCATGCAGGGGTGTATGAGGTACTCGAATAGGAAAGAGCTCGTGAAATCTGAATTTATATGCACATGGTCAATGTTTACACATGTTTGAAGTTATTGAAGAAAATGTGATATGACTGTGGTTCCGGATTTGAAGTCATTGCTGGAAAATATGATTTTAATACGTGAAATTAAATCTATAAATACAGCACTAAAAATAACAGTACACGTGAACTACATGTATGACTGTGTCCAGAAATGTTTGAAACCCTTACGGAAAATTCTGTCTGCATTTTGTCACCATTGCTCTTTCTTCCCGCATTCTAGTGCTGTTTGAATGAATATATTAATTAATATATTTCTAACTAAAATATATCACTTTTTTATAAACCACAAACATTTAGATCATAAAAAATTACTCAATACTTGAGTGAGCACGATATGCAAGGGTTACTAAGTTGACACAGTAAATGACCACTGATATTGTGTTAGTCCATGCACACAGCGTATTCTGCTAATATACATTTGCTAACACCCCCACTTTCATAGTGAAGTGACTAATTGGTTTATGTTTACGTTTTAATGTGTTTTGGGTTCCTTGTTACAGCAAGGGGGGCCAGTAAAGTAGACTAACATGTTTGCATGGCAAATTTAGATCGAATATGTGAGACACTTTAAAATGGCATAAGTTTTGGTTTGGAAGTTCAATTATTGATCCAATCAAATATCCCTCGCATAAATGTTGTCAAACTGATCAGTATCAAGCAAAAGTTACTGCAGTCACCTTTGCCTTTAAGATGGCGGACAGGAAGTGTCGATTTCGATATTTTTAGTTTTCCTCTAATTAAACTTCTTCATAGTTGGTGTTATGCTTTGATGAACTAAATGAGACTAGGCTCATATGAAATGTAAGTTCTGGAGTATGATCATTTGTTCATATATAGTGCATGAGCCACAGTTCAATGATATCTTCCACCGCTTAATGGAAGGGTACTGGAAATGTATGATACGGTAAGGATCATGAAATTTAGAGTGTATTTGTTGCTATGTTATCGATGTTTTTAAACAAGTGATGTCACAAGTAAATCTCATCTTGCATGTGTGACTTTTTAGGATGAAAGATGCAATATCTTGCATGGGGTAAAGATGGCTGTAGGCTATCTTTGTCAGTCTTATGAGAAAAGCCTGGTTTAGTTTAAATGATCTCAAAGCATTACGTCAACTTTCAAATAGTTAATTCCAAAAAAAACAAAAATATCGAAATTAATACTTACTGTCCGCCATCTTAAATGCGAAGGTGACGGCCGTAACCTTCGCTTGATATTTACCAGTGATAATGTACATGTAGATCTAACACTTCTTTACCTCGTGTTCGAACAGTAAGCTTACAGTTGAATGTTTTTCAGTATTTAATCCTTGTTATCAGAAATGAATGGAAACATAAGAATTGATCTTTTTCAATGTTGAATGGGATACAACATTTGAGTTTTCAAACAAAAACTTATGGAATCTTAAGTTAGCCTAATACCGAGCTCATATATTACACCTCATAAATTCTAAGGAATCGTCACCGTACAGCAGATGCGTCACCGTACAAATCTGATCTTTTTTAAATATGTCTTAGTATACAGTGAATGATTATTTGCCGAATCCTCATATGTTCTAAAATGCATAGATAACAAATACATATTCTCATAAAAATGATCCATACTCTAAGGCGGCAGGGAAAATAATAACCAAACGAAAAATTGAGAAAACAACATTATTCTCTCGTGTCGATTATGTGGGCCGATCCAGTCAGAAAAAATCCGAGCAGTGCTCGAAAAACTTTTATCATAATTAGAAAGTTAAAACCATTTCTAAGAGAATGCTGTTTTTATTACACCCACAATCGTATTTATTTTCATCTAATTAATTTTTTTAAAACCCTCATTATAGTTTTTGCTTCAACTCGGTTAGTTTTCATCATCGTACAGAAAACTGTACTACTGTATTTTTTGACGCTGTACGGTGACGCTTGCTGACGCGATGGTTAGGCGTGATTAAGATGAGTGAAATCGATTTCGTGGAATTTTTGACAGTTGATTTCCCTCTAAAATGTTAATGACTGGAATTGTGAGAAATGATCTATCACTTCAATTAACTTTTGGCCAGATTTTCAATTCATCTGTGAAAATACCACTGAGTTAGTAAGAATAGAAAATAATGAGTTTGATTCAACAAAGGATTTAAGCCCAAGACTCAATGCATTGTTTGCTGGATCATACACTCCCCTCCATAAGTTTGGCAACCTAAGCTCCCCCATTGAAATACGTGTTAAGCCTCTTTACGTTTGAATTTTTATTTACTTACCCTGCGATGAAATAACTTATAATAATATTGATGGAAACGTAACTTGACTTTATTTCCAAAACCTCCAAAGGAGTGGTATCGATATGGAGAACTTTTTGAACACACGTTTCTCTTAAACCAATCATAAATAAAATCTAAAAACTTAACACATCATCATTTAGTAGTCATCTTTTGATGGTAACAATATAATTTGAAAAATATATATTGTTTTAGAAAACACATCAAACACTTGTTTTGTTCTTGGTATCATGTTTCCAGAGTGAAATGAAACATCTTTCCGAACCTCATTGGAACAAATCGACATAAACACTACATAATATATTACTACATACAATATTGTTATTGTACACAGGAAATTTTGGTTGATTTTAAAAAAGTATCTTGTTAATGAAATGAAAGGTTAATCTTGATTTTTATCTATTTTGGGAGGATTTTTTTTTAAATCAACCAAAAATTCCTTTGTATAACTATAATATTGAGAGGTCTAAAAACATGTTGTATATGTTATTTTGTTCCAACAAGGTTTGGAAAGACATTTTATTTCATTCTCAAGAATTGGTAGAAAGGAGCAAAAACAAAAAAGTTTACCAAAAAACAGTTATATAAAATATTTCTAAATAATTTTCGCATTAAATTGCTGTCAATCAGTCAACGGTACATAAAATACCGTGTTTTTTACAGAATGTTTTCAATGATTGGTATAAGAGAAAAACATTGTTGAATTCAGTTCTCCATATCGATACCAATCCTTTGAGGAATTTTTGAAAATCGTCATTCCCATGTAAACCAATGGGAAATGGTGAGTTCGGTGCAAACCAGAAATCAGGATATTTATTCAGTAAAAGATTCAGCAAATTTTTTTTATAGAAAATTGAATTGTCTTTCTTTTTGTACACTAAGTGTATACCCAGCAAACAGTGACGTCCATGTAACGTCACTCATATGTGGTATATAAGTTCACTGGAGACGTTGTATATTTCCGTTATATAAACGTCAAAGCAACGTAAAATTGTGACATTCAGCAAAACGTCGGT